CTCAAACCCTCAAGATGTGTTCACAGTGACCTTTACCATTTTCTTCTGCTGATCTTCGCTGGCTCATCAGCTCACAAGTCCCAGACTCCCCAGCATGCTGATTTACTATCTGTTCAGAGATTAGATACGCCTCATCTCTCAAGAGATGCCTTGAGTTCTTCATTTTGCAAGGGATGCTGAGTTAGGTCTTGCCCAAAATATCTCTGTAATGCAACCAGCCAAGCTTCAAAAAAATAACAAAGTAGGTTATGCTGCTTTCTTCTCACACTTATCAACTAAACAATTGTGGATAAGTGTGCGTGTGCGCGCGCGCGCGCGCGTGTGTGTGTGTGTGTGTATGTATATAGAAAGAAGAAATGAAGATGATCTTCTTCAGACCTTTCAAAAGATTAATATGTCAAGATTCCAGGTAGTAGATGCAGAAATGGTTGTTTTATTCAGTGTAATAGGAAGTTCAAATCTAGTGTGTATTATTTTCCAGACTGAATCTTGCTGCAGTCTTCTTTATGATGAAAAACATTTTTCTCTTTTGTAACAGGGTAGAGATAGAAATTTCCATCATTTATAACAGTTGTTACTTCTTTGCCTAATAGACATAGTTGCAATTAATGATCTTAGTTTTAACATACTCTCCTGGAAATTTGGCCATTTATAGCATTTAATTTACTGTTCCTTTCATTACTCTTAAGTCACAAAAATTGATTCCAAAAAAATATTTCAACCTAAAATAAGGGAAATAAAGGAAAAAATTTCATTAAACAGATTTCTTTTGTATGGTCTTTATTGGTAGAAAAACTGAATGATCTCAATAGGGTACAAACTAGATAGGCACATAGTAAATGAATTGATGAGTATGGTTGGGATAACAAGGATTCTCCTTCCCCTTTCTCCTTTACCTTCAGTTTCCAAACACCAGGAAACTACTAATCTTTCTTTCGATTGACATGAGGACATTATAAACAAGTAAAATTCTTTCATGGAGAAGAGGTTTCATTTCATTATATAACACAACCTCATTACAGAACTAGTTTATTTGACTTCTTGAAAAAGTCAAATGTTCCAATGTTAATTACATTTTTTGGAAGAAATTATTTAATCAAACTTTTCTGGATAGGACTTTTTCTCTCTGAAAAATCACAGCAGTAAAATTTGGTTGCTGCTCATCTTCAACCTTTGTTTTCCTAATAAGCATTAATACTATAAAAAAACAGTGTGTCTAAGCGTAACAGCGAAATATTGGCTACCAACAAGAGTACTTTTTTTAATGGGACTTTCCTAGTTCAGAAAAAATGTGATAATTCCTTCCATGTCACTGATATCTGAAGTACTTAATGCTTCCTTATTTACTGTATCTCTCAGCTCTTATGTTGGGAAAGTCATAGATCTTTCATAGAAAGTAAGGCAAGATTATAAATTTATTTTTTCTGTAAAATCTCCTGTGTATAGTACCAGGTTAACTTTATCTTGACAAAGCATGGAATTCATGTTACATTGTGACATTGGTTGGCTCTAGAATATTAAAGAAAATGTGCTAACTATATGAAAAATTTTTATGAAGTTTCATTCTCCTTCTTGAGATTGGAAAAAGGTATTTTTTTTTGTCAGTCACATTACCATGCCAGTAATATTTTGTTTTCCATCTTGTTAGTGTCTTCTGACACTCTTCATTTTCCTCTTATGGCTTTTTAATTATTTCATTAATTTCACCTATCAGCATGAAGGATAATGCTCATTCAGAGTATGACATTTTCTTCATTTGGCAAATTGTTGTTATAAAGGGTGTTGTCGGTTTGATGTTGAATTTGATAAAATATGCCATTTAAACATTCAAATTTTAGATTCACATAGACTTTATGTATGAGAACATTTCCTAATAAGTATCATTTAGAAGGTTCTAAGTTGCAATATTTTATGCCATCTAGTATTAATAAAAGAGAAAATAATGAGAAAGTCTGAAGTGGGAGATATGGGCAAAAATAGAAATACATCTATTTACAGAGAAAAGCTGTGCGCTGAAATCATGTTTACAAATCACCACAGGAAGAAATAGAACATGTACTTCAGATGTATATGATAACTGATGAGACACTGAAATTATTGTCTGCTTGGAAAGGACTCACAAAAATTCAAATATGTTATGCCTACTAGAAAGGGTGACATCTACAACTCAGTGAAATGAAAGACCCTAAAACTCTGTCGTTTTTAAATTATAAGGTCCAACTAAATTCCGGGGGGACTGATATTTCTGTGAGCAATAAAACTCAGCTGATGTTATTGTTAGATATGATTCATTCATTGAATACTGTGAAGAACCTTATTCTTTAGGGAGCAGATTAGTGATTTTCTCTGGTTGGAGAAAAAAATATATATATATGTGTATATATATATATATATATATATATATATATATATATATATATATATATATTATAAAAGTGCTTATTTTGAACAGGAAAGAAAAAGCAAATGCCTTCAACAGCAAATAATGGATTGAGCTGGATAAGGAGACTTGGGACTTAGATACCCTTCAAAAGTCTTTTTAAAGAAGCTAGAAATAGTTATGGCCACACTGGGTGGGAAGATGGGTGAGCTTTCTCCCTTCCATGTCTCACAAACAAAGCTAAAACCCATTTCTTCTCAATTTTAGCAAGCAATTAATTGGCTCACAAATCGAAACACCGGTTTACTTTATGGATATATCAATTTCTTGGATATTTAATGAGGTAGAGTCATTATATTTGAAGTCTCAATATTTTACCATATTGGTAACCAAACTATACGTGTAATTGGAGTTGTCCCTCAACCTCTGTAAGGAGGCACAACCTTTCTTAATACTGAGCACAGGAAATTAGAGTGGATTTACACCACTTGGAGGGTCCAGTAGCTACATTGGGGATGTATGTTGCAGCTTCTGTTATATCAGCTGGAACTACCCTCAAAGGAGCAAATATGGTTGGAATGTTACTCCATATGGAGAAAAAAGGAAGAAACTGGAAGAGACGCATTTACCAAAAATCTTCCTGAGGACTTTGTGAGCTCCTAAGCCACCAGAAAAACATCCTTATTGTTCTGAAGATGCCAGAAATTACTCTAGAGAATAAAAATGGAGCAACAACCTGGAAATCACAGCTCTTGATTTTATAGAGCTCTTTTGTCAAAGCAGCATTCAACATAGATAATATTGCAGATTGGAATAAGCATTTGCTGAGATTTGGTACTCCATGCTTGTATGATCATATCACAATGAACCCAGTATTACATATAGCTATCTTGCACTGATTTATAAAAAAAACAAAACAAAAAAAACCATTAAAAATGTCCTCAAGTTAATTAATATTTACACATATTTGCATAAAATTTGAACTATGCATTGTAGATCACATATATTTACCCCAATATAATTTCAAACATGTAACAGAGCATGAACATTCTAGATTTAATAAAATTAAAAATTGTTTTCAAAAGCCAAGATGAGGCCTTAAATGGATCCATTTGTCAGTGTTTCTTTTTTTCTTGGGGAGAAAGGATGCTATGAGTTGATACTGTCCAGTTCTAAATAATTAAATTTCTACTTAATCTTATAAGTGTAGTTGCTAATTAAAAATAGAACTTATTTTCATTGCCTTATTTATAGAGTCGGCTTCATCTTCAAATTGCTGAGCTTACAGTGGGACAATAAAAATCTTCAGCAAGAAAAGATCAAAGGCTGTCAATGAATACGAGCTATATTTTTCTATGAATTTATTCTTTCTTGACAATTAAGAGAATTTGCAAATAAACCAATAAACCTGTTCACATATATTTTAAAACATCCTTCACTATTTTTTTGGCAGAATCAGAATCTATTTTTGGAAAGATTAAAATTTCTGTAATCAATCTGATACAGTATTCATCCTGCAATGATCACTGACTATATCTTAACTTGAAATATCAATATTAATTTTAATATACACCTAAATACTTATATAATTTAGATAATTTTTAATTAAGTCAAAAATAAAATTACTTCCTCTCTACTAGGACTAATTTACACTTATATTATGCAAAATTTTCCTGTGAGATAATTATTTCTTTAAAAAGTAAGATACTTCCATGTAAATAGTTATATTAGACCTGGAACTTAATTTATTATGGTTATTGATCTGGTCTGTTACTATAGCTTTGAAAAAATTGTCCATACATTTAGACAATAAGAGATCTGAGGGCAGGAATGATGAACTGGTTGCCTTAAGTTTTATATTATAAAATTTGATTTACTCATGTAATTAATGTCCCTGATCAATTTTTAAATCTCAATTACCATTGATTCAATAAATATTTGTTAGTTATATTTTAAGGATCAGCTACTATTCTATATTTCCACCAACAAAAGTAGTGAACAGGATGAAAAAGGATCTGACAGTCTCATGGAACTAATTACCTGAAGTAATATATAATAGTGCATATAAAGGAAGTAACTGAATGCTATTATTAGATTCTCTATTTTTTCTTTTCAATTTCAGAGGACTCTGAAGTTGATATTAAGTCCTTCTTTAATTTGTATTAGGTACATTATAACCACAGAAATTAAATAAAGTGCTGATCAAAGATACTGAGAAAGGAATTGAATTAGGGCATTTAATCATCCTCCAAATATACTTTCATTCTCTATAAGTTAATGCATTTTATTGGAAGATCTATAGTTCTAATAAAGTAAAATTCAAGCCAGGCCCAAAAATGTTCTTATAAACATAAAAAGCCAATGACTACAAACTATCAATCATTGTCTAAAGTTCTCAGAAGCTGGATACATGTCTTTATGTCTCACTCTTTTTTCTAATTATTTCATTCTCTTTTTAAAAGATAAAATAAAATGTGGATGACCCAAATTCTTCATAAAAATCCTAAATTTGAATGGCAAGAAAGGTGCAGTTATCTAGGTATAGGCAATCTGTTGTTGTGTTCCTTGCTTTTTGATATGTTAACAGTTTATTAATAAACTCATTAAGAAGCTCTGTTTAGTTCACACTTAAGCAGTACATATACTAAAATTGTGAACAATAGAGAGAAGATTAATATGGTCCCTGTGCAAGGAAGACATGTGAATTCTTGAAGCTATTTCTATTTTTCAGAGCTATATTAACAAAAACGGCATGGTATTGGCACTAAAAATAGACAGGAAGACAAATGGTACAGAATAGAAGACACAGAGACATACCCACATGAGTACAGTAATCTCATACTAGACAGAGATACCATAGAAATGACAGCTTCTTCAACAAACGATGCTAGGAAAATTGGAAATCAATATGTAGTAGATTGAAATTGAACCCCTATATCTCACCCTGCACAACACTCAACTGAAAGTGGATCAAGTACCCAGGCATTGGACCAGAAATCATGCACCTACTAGAACAAAATGTAGGCACAAATCTCCATCATGTTGGCTTAGGAACTGATTTCCTCAGTAAGAGTCCCAAATACAGGAAGTAAAATCAAGAATCAATAAATGGGATGGTATCAAACTAAAAAGCTTCTTCACAGCAAAGGAAACAATCAAGAACATGAAAAGAGAGCCAACAGAATAGGAGAAAACCTTTGCCACCTGCACCTTAGGCCCAACATTAATCTCCAGGATATATAAAGAACTCAAAAAACTTAACACCAAAAACTCAAATAACCCAGCCAATAAATGGGCTAAGCATCTGAACAGACACTTCATAGAAGAAGAAATACAATTAATCAACAAATATATGAAGAATGTTCAATATCTCTGACAATTAGAAAAATGCAAATTAAAACTACACTAACATGGTAACACATGCCTGTAGTTCCACTAGCTTAGGAGGCTGAGGCAGGAGGACCAAGAGTTCAAAGACAGCCTCAGCAAGTTAGTATGACCTTAAGCAACCCAGTGAGACTCTGTTTCTAAAGAAAATACAAAAAAGGGCTGGGGATGTGGCTCAGTTTTTAAGTGCCCCTGGATTCAACCCCCGGTGCCAAAAAACAACAACAGTAAACAAATAAGCAATAACAACAAAAAGAAAACTGCACTGAAATTTCATCTCACTCCAATCAGAATGGCAATTATGAATAATACAATAACAATAAATGTTGGTGAGGATGTGGGAAAAATGCACACTCATACATTGCTGGTGGGACTGAAAATTGGTGGAATCACTATGGAAAGCAGTATGGAGATTTCTCAGAAAACTAGGCATGGAACCACCATTTGACCCAGTTATCCCACTCCTCACCATATACCTAAAGGACTTAAAATCAGCATACCAAAGTAATGTGGCCATATAAATGTTTACAGCAGCTCAGTTCACAATAGCTAAGCTGTGGGACCAACCTAAGTGCCCTTCAACAAATGAGTAGATAAAGACAATGTGGAATATATAAACAATGGACTATTACTCAGCACTAAATGGAAATGAAATTATGGCATTTGCCAGTTAATGGATGGAACTGGAGACTGTCATGCTAAGTAAAATAAGTCAATTCCCAAAAACCAGTGGCCAAATGTTCTCTCTGAAATGCAGATACTGACTCACAATGGGTGGTGGTTGGTGGCAATAGAGCTTGACCAGATTGGACAGGGGGGAGTGGAGGAAAGGGTGGAAGAATGGTAATGGAAAAGTCAGTAGAATGAATCAGACATAACTTCCCTGTTCACATATGACTACATGACCAGTGTAACTCCACATTGTGTATGACCACAAAAACCGGAAGTTATACTCCATGTATGTATGTATGTCAAAATACATTCTATTTTCATGTATAACTAAAAAGAACAAATTAACATTTTCTTAAAAAGTAAGCCTTGTTTAATGCTTCTGATAAATCCAATTTTGTATTGCACCCCTTGGCTTTATTTGTTTATTTTTACATTTCACTGGGAAACTTTTCTTCAGATCTTTACATAGAATGTTGGATTAATAGGTAGCACTAGTGGAGGCAGCATTATCACACAAATTCGCAATGTAATAATCCCTAAACCTCTTAGGAACTATTCAGTTCAGCAGTCTGAAGAATCTGTTAATATTAGTTTGAATTTCCCATTGGCCTGTTTACAATCCATAGTCTTCCAATATAGCATGGTTCCTGTTGGTGACAAAATTCTGTTTAAATATTCAACTTGATAACATGAAACTATGAAACTGCTGAAATTTCTATTTTTATATATGTATTAGCCCTCTCAAAGAATGCATGTAAATATTATATTTCAATATTTTTTTCATTCTTTGTTGTATGATTATCTTACAAAAGAGAGAATAAAGGTCCCATCATTGAGTCAATCATTTAACCATGTTTTGGTTGTTGTTGTTGTTATTCCATAAAGCACCATTTTGTAAATGAAAGGATACATCTTTTTGTTGTTTAACATACATAAGAAATGTAATCTTGCAATCTGTGTTGTTCCATGGAAACTTTTTAGCTGCAATAAAAAAGAATTAATAATTCCCAGTCTTATTATACTAAATCCTTAGTCTATTAAAAGTAATCTACAGGTATAGGGAAAACTCTTCCTATAAATAAAATAATGAGATGATACTAAAAAATTTACAATAGTGGAATAAGACAGCATTCTCCTTCTCTCAGAAATTACCAAAAGCTACAATGCAAAATAAAAGTACGAATATATTGAGGTAAAATTTGAAGAATGGTATATGTAGAATGAGTGCTAAATGCACTGAAGTTCAGATGGAAATACTGGAAGATGAGTGAATCTGATTTCAGGCAAATTCAGCATAGCTGAATTCTGAAAATAAGGCAAGGCATTCTGCAGGGGAAACTAAATGCTTCTTGTCTGAAAATGTAAAGAAGTTTATTTAGTTTGATAGTAAGAGATTCTGAGATACCTATGATATCATCATGTACAAATATGTAAAGTTTTCCAAACTATTTGTAATTTATAGCCCTCCAAATGAAAATTAGCGCATCAGTTAACAGAGTAAAAAGGTTAAATTTTTTAAAAAATATTTATTCTTTAGTTGTACACAATACCTTTATTTTTATGTTGTGCTAAGGATCGAATCCAGGGCCTTGCATGTGCTAGGCAAGTTCTCTACCACTGAACCACAGCCCTAACCCCCGCAAAAGGTAAAATTTTATCTCAAAGAAAATCTTACAAAAGTATCTTACAAATTACTTGACTTTATATATGTCATGAAATAGGCACCATGTTTTCTAAACTCCAGAGAACATGATTAATAATGAGATAGACAAGGGAGAGCAAATTTTAAAGATAAAGATATCCATGCTTATGAAGCAAAATAATTAAGGTATCCATGGAGAGAAGAGAAAAAAAAATCAAACTGGTCTCAGTTCTAGAAATAAAATGCTGATTAAATACTGAAACATTAGAATTTTTTCTGAATTTTTGTTACTTTGATTACTAATGAGCATGAATATACTTCATTTGTTTTCTTTTGGTTTGCCTATTTTTTATTTCTTACAAATGTATGAATATATTTATGACTATTTCATCTCAGTTATGAACTGACTTTTCACTTCCATAGTGTTGACAGAACTATGGAAGCAATCAATCATTTAGATTGATTGCAGTTTTCCCCTTTAAATTTGGTACTATCTGTGCATTTTTAAGAAGCCTTTTCTACTCTGAAATCACAAAAACCTTGACCTTTTCATCCATATTTTAAGCTTTTTCTTTTGAATAATCATATATGTTCACAGGAAGTTGCAAAGATAGTAGAGCAGTCCCTAGTACCCAGTTTTCCCAATTGATTATGTGATTATATAATAGAAGTGCAACTGGAAAATGACATTGGTCAGTGTGTGTGAATATTCTGTCATTACCTCGTGAGTATGGATTTACTGAATCACACTACAATTAAGACATTATCTTATCAAAAGATCTCCCTCATGCTTCAAACACTGTCCTACTGGCTTCCCTGACATCCTTAACTCTAAGCAAACATCAACTCATTCTCCATCTGTATTATCTTGTCAAACTTAGAATACAATATGTGAGCTTTATTACTTATTTCTTTTACCCAGTCTAAATCCATCCAAGTTGTGACATTTATCAATAATTTGTTCCTTTATTGCTAAGAAGAGTACCATTCTATACATGTAGATATCTATTTAATCATCACCAATTCGAGGGCATTCTGACTCTTCTCATACCATTAACAAATTAAACAGCTATGAAAACCGATGTATTGGTTTATATGTGGGAACAAGTCTCCATTTCTCTAGAGTCAATTCCAAAGAGTATGATTGTGGGATACTGTGGTAAGGGAATGTTTTAAGATGAAAAAATGTTGTCTTTTTTTTCATTTCCACCAGTAATGTCCCAAAGATTCAGTTTTTCTACATCTTTGCCAGATATTGTATTATGGGTATTTTTTAGCTTTTCTGATAGAGTTATCACACCATAGTCTTAATTTTTATTTCATAATGGCTAGGGACCAGATAGATATCTTTTCATGTGCTTATTTGTCATTTTTATACCCACTTCAGTAAAATATCTTTTTATGTCTCTTGAGTTTTGGGAGCTCTTTATATCCTGTATATACAAATCCTTTTTCAGATATGTGGTTTGAAAAATATTTTTTTTTCTTGGTCTTTCTTTATCTTTTTACCTTTTAATAGTCTTTAACAGAGAAAAGATTTTAATTTTGGTGAAGCTTAATCAATTAAAAAAAGAAAAGATTTATGGCCCATACTTTTGGTTCAGTCTCTAAGAACTCTTCACTAAACTCTATATCCCTAAGCTCTTTCCTATTTGTTATTATTTTTTGCTTTAATATATAAATTTATGATCCATATAGAGTTACTTTTTATAGAAGATATGGAATTTATGTTGAGGTTTTTAGTTTTGGCTCGTGTTTATACAATTGCTCTAGTGACATTTTTGAACAGGTTTTTTTTCTTCTTCCATTGATTGCTTCTGCATGATGTCAAGAATCAGTTGACTGTACTTATATGAGGCTGTTTCTGGGCTCTTTATCTAGTTCCATGGATCTATGTGTCTATTTCTCTGCCAGTAGCACATAGTCTTGATGACTATATCTATACAAAACTTTAATGTCAGTTATAGTAACTCTTCCCATGGTCTCTCTCTCTCTCTCTCTCTCTCTCTCTCCCCCCTCTCTCATAA